AGTATCTGAGAGAAACAACAGAAAACACAGAAGAAAACATTTGCTGGAGGCATGGATTAAATCGACTAAAGGGGCTGTCATTTCCTTGATCCGTGAGCCTTTAAAACCCCTCCAGGTGACTCTGATTGCAAATTCAATTCACCCTTTTAACTCCCTTCATCACGACTGTTAACCTTCACATGCGTGGACACCTGCTAAAACAAAAGAGCAACATTGCAGTAGGAGTTGTGGATGACTGACTGCCATTGCCTTCAGCTTTATGTGACAAATTTATTACTGAGAAAGGTCACGGGGCTGAAATCCTAACAAAGGAAAATGTGCAGTCAAATGTGACCTGACTGCTTCTACAATTTATTTCAAGTTAGAATGATCAGATCCAGGGGAGTGTCCTCCATAAACAGCATTTTAAGGATGAATGAGAATTCAATTACCCATTTTTTAATTTATTTTTTTGTTAAATTAGGGCAGGGTGTTTACTTTGGTTGTGTAGATATTTTGACCCTGTGCTCCAGATCTCTTCTAATTCACATATTTTGATAGTTACACTGCAAGAATACAAGAGACAGTCTTGACTGACACCTCTTTCAATTAACGCTGAATGTTACTGAGCCGAAGGAGGATAACTTCTTTGCTGAAGTGTGGCAGTCTCAGTATTTAGCCCTGCCTGGCAGCAGGAAGATGGATTAAATGAGGAATTTAGAGGGGAAGTGACATCCAGAAACACCTGGGCCAAAACCGTCTTTGCAAACAAACCTCTTTGCCAGGACATGGAAGGACAGCCAGCATGAGAATAAACTACTCTGCTACCTGCAGAAAATGGTCACTTTATACTTTCAGATGCTCAAGTCCAAATGTTTGCAGCTCTGCACTGATTTTCAGTAAATAAATGCATTTTAAAAACTTTTATGTGAAGATTAAATTCACCTTCAACGCTAGCATTTTTTTAAAATTACAAATACCATTTATTTAAAATATTATCAAACCAATATAACAAGGAGCAGTTATTTCTGCTTTGCTTCCAACCTACTGTGGAAACTGTTGCTGGCAGAAAACATCCTCCTTAGATAAAAAGAAGACGTTACAGTTGCAGTTTAAAGAGGGCTTTACTAACTTTTTACATTTATTTTCAGGTACGTGTCTCAGAGGTATCATACCCAAGTGGGTTTCGCCTCACATGAAAAACTGTCCATTTCAGCAGCCCAGGCTGCAGTTATATATTAAAAGTGTCAGGACCAAACTCCCCTGCGATTAACTCTGGCTGCTCTGCCTGCATGTTTGACTGACAGGCATCACCCAGGAGATGATCAACGAGACTCGAGCGTCGACGGAGAGGAAGATGATAGGAGACATTCAGGAACTGCTGAGTCAAGGAGAAAAGGTCAACCAGCAGGACTCTCAGGGAGCTACTCTGGTAAGTTTATCTGCTTTGATTTTCTTCTAAAAATCTCAACTAAACTCAGTTTAAAACGGCATCACTGAAGTTCTTGCTGCTTTAATATTGTAAACATTTAATTGTGTTTCTGTGGAACAGAATGCGCTCGCTTAAAATGATAAAATTGGATGCATGTACTGCATATATACACTTAGATTAATGTAAAATGTGATGTAAAGTGGCAGATTTATGTGCTCAGGTTACTCAGTGATGGTGCACTAATTTGGCAAAGCTAAGCTCTGTGTGTGGTGTTAATAGGCAGCTAATGCAGCTGCCTTTCTGTAGCTGCTCCACAATACATTGTCTGAGATATAATTGACTGTGGCTTTAAATTAGCTACAAGTGTTTTGTTACTGCGGGTAGCTTTTGTTAGAGTAGTCTGCCATAGATGAGGGTAGAAATTGTCTTGAGAGGTTAAAATCTTCACTGTGATACCATCTGGACCACAGCTGCTGCTTTTGCTCTTCAGACAAAATGTTTTTATATTATTAAAAAAGAGAAATCAGATATTAAGATTACTACATTCAAAGATTAGGAAAGATTAGCAGGGTGGACATATGCATGCATTGCAGCCATGCAGTTAGTGTGTTGCCATATCACTGCTTTAATTGTCTGTACGCTCTGGAGGCTTCTTCCATTGGTGAATCACCCGGAGGTTTCTAATATTGGGGTTTAAGCCTTTTCTTGCTATTTTTGTTGGGTTATCTAAGCAAACAAATCTTGGTGCAATAAAGAGGAAATGATTTTAATATTATTTCCTGGGCTGAAGCCATTTTTTCCATGTAAGCTTGTTAAAGTGGTCCTATTGTGCTCATTTGTGGCTCCATATTTCTACCCTTGGATTCTGCAAGAGTAGTTTTGGATGATACACATTTATAAAATTCATCTGATTCATCTTACACTGGGACTTGGTGCAGCGCCTCAGTTTATCCACTGTCTGAGGAAAGAAAAACGATGTTGTAGCACACTTTAAAGCAACTTTCTTCTGTTCAGATGTTTGCTTCCCTCTCATCTTCCCCTCCTTTCTTCTGTTTCTCATATAAACAGAAGATCTGCATAGCAGATGAGCAGATGAATAGACTGCAAAGCAAGTTCAACATGCCAAGCTGGCTTGACAAAACCCAAACCCTCAGTCGGGATCAACTTTCTCTGTTAACCCAAGCCGCTTCCTTCTTCAGAATCCGTGCAGGCTCACGGAAAAGTTGGTGTTTACACATCATTTCACTCTTCAGAGCTAAATGGCTCAAGTGAGCATTATCTACTCTAATCAGAAATATTATCAGATGAACAGAAGATGGAGAGCTATAAAGAACATAAAAAATATATCAGTAAAATGCAACCGTGTTGCTGCAAAGAAGACGAGAGAAAATTATATACATAATGTATTTTAATGCTCGGCCCGGTGTTGATACTGCTGTTTGTTTCTAAAATGAACTGTACATTAAAGCTGGGAAACCTTTTACACGTTTAAATACTGAAAATTATTCATTGTGTTCAGGTCTGAGATTCTCCCTTAGCATAATAAAGGAGACATGGAAATCATTTTAGTTTAGTCAGCAATGAAATTATTTTTATTGACTGAATGAGTATTCAGTATGTAATTAATGGATTTTGTTTTTCATTTTTCTTGTAGCTGTAATTCCAGCAGCTATAAAAGAGGCTCAGCAGCAGATTAGCACCAAGAACATAAACACATTTTCTGCATCACAAACTGAAAGTAGCCAAATTTCAGCAGTGCTTCTTTCATGCGTTAGTAAGGTGTGGCTCAACAGTTTGTATGTATAAAATATTAGAGAGAGCAGAGCCACCATCATGACACTGGAAAACTCTTGACTTTAAGCTCAACACAGCTTGCTGTCCCCCCATAGTTACCCTTAGGGCTTCTTGGCTCACACATAGACCTGTGTGGCGGAGATGACCATGTTGGGGATATGCGTTTTTATTAACATCACAGCCAGTAGAAAAAAGCTGTCTGAATTGGCTCATTTAAAGCAGTCTGCGTGAAGCCTGAGCTGCTGGCTCATAGGGATTATTTGGATATATACTGACCTCATTACTGGAAACTTTGATCTTCTTTAATATTACGTATGATAGGAAATGAAGAAAAAGCATTTGAAAAGGAAGCAGTTAGAAATAAAATAAGATAAGAGAGCTAAACATGAAATGAACCCTCCTACCCACCGGGTTCCAGATGTGCTGCAGAGAGACAAACCTCTCGCGTTAATATCAGGCGTCACAGGTCTGAACAAAGAGGGGGGAAAAAAGCAAATGGTGTGTAAATATTCAGTGGACCGTCTTTATTACAGATTCACCTTTTAAAGATCATGTGCTCTGCAACTGTCTCGCGAGGCCGTAAAACCTCCAAAGCTAATCAGGCATTTAGAGCCTCGTTATAATTTTTTAAAGACAAATCAGCTGTATGATTTTAAATGGTCTGAGTGCTCCAGTTATGAATGCTCAGGATACCTGCAGTCATTATTTAAACAAATGTTAGATTACAGTAAACCTGTAGTGATGATAAAATTGCATTTAAGAGGAGCGGGAAGAGATGACAAGAAACATAAAAGCAGCATTTCATCAAAGAAAACATGGTCAGATTGCATATTTGGTTTTCAGTAGCGTGTGTGCTCCTGTTGGCCTTTTGTGTGCGTTTTATGCCAACCCCTAAAGTTTATAAGTTTGATGCATAAGTGTGATTAGAGCGATTAAGTAGACAAGAGAATGAAAACGAATAAAGGCCCTCATGTCTTTATGCTTTGCTGCATAGTGCAAAGGTACGCGAGGATTGTGTGTACCTAATAAGTCCCTAAATTTGTTTTGTTTAGCACTTTAGTACAGAGATGCAATAAAAGTCAAGCAAGGTACAAAAAAAATCATCAGCACATAATTTACTGAGTAGAGCATATAATGCCAGATGCCTTAATGAAGTCTTTATTATGTATTAGGGATTTAGCTACACAGGGGAAACACAGTGACAGATCACTGGATGGAAGTAGCTAGGGGATAGTAGTATCCCAAAATAACCCCGTTAAGCTTTAAAGTCTCACTACAGATTGTGTGATTGAGCTGCTTGTCCCTTTGCTTTCTACATCCTGTTAATCTTCATTCGAGCACGATGAAGCAAACTAGAGCATGCCTTATTAAAATCCCTGGCACAGATGAGAGGAAGAGACCCTGAACTGACAGGAAGTTATGTAAGGTTAATCTTTTGTTTTCCAGTGAAATGCATTTTTATGATCCTGTTTTGATGTGCAGGCACAATGATTTGTATGCTTTGTGACTTCAGACAGATTGAGAAGAGAAATATTTTTCATTTTTGTTGGAAGTTTATTAAAAAAAAGTGTAAACAAAGTAAGGAAAAGTAACAAGTGTCACATGTTGTTCTCTGTGCCATAAACCTGACGAAGGACACATAAACACAAAGTTTATATATAAAAATACACTCACTGGACACACCTCCTTATATCTTTAGAAGTGCCTTAATTCTTCCTTGTGTAGATTTAGCTGGAAATGTTTCTCTGTGGTTTGGTTGTGGATGGATTGATGTCTGGTGACTGTGCAGGCCATTTGAAGACAGTGAGCTCATTGTTATGCTTAAGAAACCAGTTTGAGATGGTTTGAGCTTTGTATCCTTCTGGGGGAAGCCATCAGAAGATGGGTATGCTGTGGTCATAAAGAGATGGATATGGTCAGCAGCAATACTTGGGCAGGCTGCTGCATATAAATGATGCTTAATTGGTAGTAATGGGTGGCCTAGAGTGTTCCAAAAAACATATCCCCCATATCATTACATCACCACCACCAGCCTGAACTATATACTATAATGCTGTTCTACTATATAATAGAAGCCAAGATGGATCCGTGCGTTCATGTTGCTTAAATTCTGGCCCTAACATCGCAATGTTGCAGCAGAAATTGAGACTCATCAGACCAGTGGATGTTTTTCCCAATTTGCTTTTGTCCAGTTTTGGTGTGCAAACTGAACCAGAGTGTTCAGAGGTGATCTTCTGCATACCTTGGTTGTAATGAGTGCTTAATTGAGTTATTCTTTCCTTCATCACCTCGAAGGAGTCTAGCCATTCTCCTCTGACCTCTCACATCGATGAGTCATTTTCACCCAGAGAACTCACTTTTCACTTTTACAGATCATTCTCTGTAAACCCCAGTGACAGTTGTGAGGGAAAATCCCAGTAGATGAGCAGTTTCTTAAGTGCACCACGTTGGCGCCTGCCTCCTAACTTATGGGTCTATTATTGCAGTCCTCTCTTTTCAATTACTGTCATCTCAGGTTTTGTTTATTTTTAAGAAAACTATAGTTGTAGCCTTGTGAAGGAGAATGAGTGAGGCGAGTGAAGTTTCACATGTACACAAAGCATTTCAGACTGGAAATAACAAGTGAAACACATTGTTAAGTTAAGATACGGCGATGGAGGTTGTTTCAGTCCTTTAATCACACATTTAGCTGCATGTCGTTAGATTGTGGGTGAAAACGGAAGACAAGAGAGTACTTGTCCCGGCATGCGTTTGACCAGTGGAAGGGTAAATCAGGACATGCTGCTGGTGGCACTGTGGGAGGAACTGGAGTGCTCACAGTATGCTGACATTATGAAACTTTTGGCACGGTGACACAGGCAGTGTTGCCCAGTGTCGGTCCACCGGTTTGTTTCGGAACGAAAATCTCAGCAAAGACTCTGATGGTCCCCCGGCTTAACCTGTACTGTCAGCATGAGGTTGACATTTCTGGTTTTGAGTGAAACGTCTCAGTAAGCCGGACAGACTGTTATTAGATCAAGTTTAGATGTTTTCAGCGGCTTTTTGTCCAGTCCCGCCAAAAGGTCAGATTTGTCATTTGGCTAATGCTAATGATCTTTTCATTTGCCTCAGGTTTGTCCTATTATTACTTGTCGTCCTCAGCCTCATCTGACACTGACTTAGATGAGGAAGTTTGTCCTTAATGAGGAGGCTGTCTTTTAGTTTTGATCAATGTAACCACTCTTTGATGGGATGCACCGGTACATTGGTTTACAATTACAGTGATGTTTTCTGTTAAACTCATGTGTTCCTTAGTTGTATTTTTATGGCATGTTAGACAACTTTAGCTTGTTTCCTTTAGCTAATTCTGCATGTCTCACGGCCTTTAGATGCCTATAAAGGAACGCTGGGATTCGATATTCGGTCTTCTGGAATGCTGATGGCATTTTCCAAAAGATAGACTGGTGAATAGATGGTGCTTTCTGTTATCCCAAACATAACCTACTTCTGCGGTCTCACCAAAAGAGGCAAACGGCATTAAGTACAGTTCCTGTAAGTGACACGTGAAGCTGCAAACCAGACTTTCATGAATGCCACACCACTTGCCAACTTCCCTGTTGCAATAAACATATTTTATACCAGTTTGTTATTGTTCAACCTCACAGCCACAGTTTGTGTGGGGCTTTAGAAATTGGCAGAATGAAAGGCCAAGTGCTGCCATCATATTATATTTTTCTTTTTCAGGCATTCAGTAATTTGAAGGCCAGGAAAGGAAAATATTCAAAGGAGGTTCCAATAAAAACTGAAATTAACAATTTTCAGTTTGGTGATTTAAAAAAGCAATAATCTACATGTAATTTAACATAATATTAGAAGATGCACAGTAATAAACTGACATCTTTAAACTTAGAAGCAAAAAAATACTTTATTTGTAGATTTTTGCAGGTGTAATGTCTCACATAGTAAGCAATTGTAAGTTACCACTATATAACGTTCTTTGGCATGTTCACTGCCACTTTAGTATGAATTTCACATTATTTTTTTTGCATGCAAACAGTAAATCCTGAGCACTGGGGGAAAACAATCTCTATTCCCTTCTCTGTTGTTGCAGCTACACATCGCAGCAGCAAATGGCTACGCGCAGGCTGCAGAGCTGCTGCTGGAGGGGGGGGCTCGTGTGGACCTCAGAGATTCAGATGGATGGCAGCCTCTTCATGCTGCAGCGTGCTGGGGTCAGGTAAGGAAAACACAACAGGAAAGAGATAAGAGCCTCAGGCGCACACAAAGGTTTCTGGAACCATTAATACAAATTGCTTCCACTGTTGTTGTTGTTGCTGCTTTAGATGCATGTGGCAGAGCTGCTGGTGTCTCACGGAGCCAGTCTCAATGCCAAGACCTTCCTGGAGGAGACTCCAATTGGTATGTTTACAGTATACTGTAGCACTCACTTGTCCGGTGCACCTGGTAATGAGTTCAGGGGAAAAAAAGTATCGTCTCAGCAGGGTCTCATTTCCAAGTGTTCACTTTTATGTTAAGCATTACTAACAGTGTCCCTTTTACCCATGTTGCTTTAAGATCTGTGTGAGGACGAGGAGTTCAGAGCCATCCTGCTGGACCTGAAACACAAACACGACATTATCATGAAGTCACAGCTCAAGCACAAGACCTCGCTGTGCAGGCGAACGTCCAGTGCAGGCAGTCGTGGGTATGTGCTGACATCTGTTGGTGGTAGCATGGCTACTACAGGCTTTGTTATTTGGAGAAATTAGAAAACAGACAAAACATCTGTTCTGTATACTTACAGCTGTATTTACATTTAATAGGAGAATGGTGGATAGAAGCCTCCGCTGATATAATGACATAATGTCTGACATAATGAAGCTGTCAGTTTAGCGTGTGTATAAGTTCTTCTGCTCTTTAACTTTCATGTGTAAAAGTACCATATATGGTAAGCTGTTATTTTTCTAGCTGCTTTTTCTTACTGGGAATTCCACTTGTGTTCACAGAAAAGTGGTGCGGCGAGCCAGTTTGTCGGACAGACACAACCTGTGTCGTAAAGAGTACGAGACCGAGGCCATCGTGTGGAGGAAAGAAAAGGAAGACGAGGACGAGAAAGAAAAGGAGTCTGATCAGGAGAATAGCCAAGTAGTTAGTGTGAGACTATTTTTAAGGATTACATAAATAGCTCTTCTAAGCAGTTCTAACTTTGGTTTTTTGGGTGGGTGGGGGGTGGCTTGGTGGAATTTACCGCCCCCTCACACACACACGCTGTCAGATGATAATGTGTGTGAGAGATATTTTTAAGCACAGGTAGAAAGATGATTCTTCCCACTCAGAAGCTGAAATGTCACATTTGGATGAATCAGACAGAGGACTTCCTCCAGCACCCAGGAGCAATTGCACAAAAGGAAACCCACAACAGAAAAAAACTGAAATACTGTCTTCCATTATCAGTAGACTCTGTTGCCACCGCCGCTGCTTATTGTAACCTCAACTTTTTACACACATTATCGGCAGATTATCAGATGACGTTCAGAGAAATGTTGCTCTGGCACAAAATAACTCTGAACAGTTGGGAGATTTTCTCTATAATGAAGCAAATAAATTGGCTTTACATCTGATTTCATTTGAACTTTGTAAGCCTCGGCAGCAGATCAAAGTTTACTGATCTGCCCTGCACAGTCAGGCCTTTGTGTATTTAATGAGCTAAAAGAAAGTCTTACAGAGGATTAAAGTAATCCTTATTGATGTCTTGCAGGTCAAGCCTGTTGTCGCTGTGGAGCTGCCCGACAAGTCCAACCTACCCACCATCCTCAAAGAAGGCAACAGCAAGCAGAATGGCCTAATCTCCACGACAACATCCATGCCACCTCAGCCTCCCTCCAATGGCAGCACACCGACGTCCAGCAAGGGTGGGGTTGTCACCACCCAGCCGTCCCAGGAGGAAACCTGGCCAAAAGAGCGCCCTCAGACTCTGTCAGAGCTGAAAAAGCAGCGAGCTGCTGCCAAGCTCTTGAACCACCCCTTGTTCAACGGTCACCTTGGTAACGGCTCCACAGACTCCTTCACTGATGCCAAAACCACCTCTGAGGATCCTCGCATGCCGCTGGTCTCCTCCAATGGCAACGCCGTATATTATACCCCAGCCAGCGGCGACCCACCCCTGCTCAAATTCAAGCAGCCTATGGAGGAGGAGCAGCCGAAGGTGCGGACCTGCTGCTGCGTGTCATAGTTGGTGCGCGGTCATGTGACTGTTACCAGAACAGGAAGTGTTTGCACTGAGAGGAGGGAAGCAAGGAAGGCTCTGTAGAAGGGAGGAGAAGAAAGAAGGAAAGTCTTTGAACATCCTTCACCACTCCCGGTTCAAAAATGTCTTCAAGACAGGCGGCCCGATTAAAGTATGAAAACATTTCCTTTCACCTCCCAGTCTCGTAACTCCTTTAAAGTGCAGCTGAGAAGTGGAGGAAATTCCTTTCATACATGGAGTCTCTTTACACAACAAATGTAAAGACAAGAAGTGGTCCCGCTCTCCCTGTTAAAAATCAAAGAGGATGGGGAGTGTTTTTTGACAGAAATTTAGAATTAGGAGAGAAGATCGCAAGGTACTGAATCCTCTACACATGGAAGAAACTTTGTCTGTTACCCCACAAACAGATCGGTATCATTTCATTAGAACAGCATTTCTTCCAGGATAAACTAATCTTGTTATCAAACCACATGTGGCACATTCTTGTCATGTTCAAACAAGCAGGACAGTCATCCTGGAAGGGTGCTGATATCTTGTAATACACCGTGTTGTTGTAGTACAACACATGAGAAAATGCAAAACATGGCAAAAGGAGATCTGTGACATCTCTTTCCGTGTTGACATGCTGCCTGGAAAAGTAAGGGAAAGGAATGCCATAAAACAGTGTTAAAATACTCATGAAGTGTACTTCTACAGTGAGAGATAACCGGAAGGAGTAAAAGTACTGCACTAGTGTTTGAAACGGTCACTATATTCCGTCAACTATGCGTCACCTCACCGTCCTCTCACGTGGAACCTAAACTGACAGGTCGTGCTTTGTTTTATGCATTATTCACTTTGTGCTCACTCGTATAGATAATTTAAGCAAACATGGTTGAAAATTACTGTACATGTTTTATTTATGAAATGTAAATTGTAAAAAAACAAAAAAACAAAGAAAAAACATGGTTTCTAAAGTCGAGTGTATTTATTATTTGGATGGCGTGTGGAGAGTGTGTGCGAGTTGGTGGGGGGGAGGCGAATCTCCCCAGCTGAGCACCTTCTGACATGGAAGAACGGTTCAAATGAAATGAGGGTTACTGTCTGCGTTATGTACGTGTAATTAAAAAAAACAAAAAACCCAGCCATCATACTGGATGGATTCATGAATATGTCACTACAAATAACAGTGTTATTTGTTTATGTTTTGTTTTTGTTTTTTTCCTGGTGGCCATTGTGTGGCTTTACTTCCCCTGAGTCACTGTATTTGTCTTCTAAACTGAAACTGTATGTTATGTAATGATTACTGTAAATGAAAAATGAGTTTTCAGAAGAATGCTTGAGGCCTCAGTATCTTTGGTATGTAGCGAGCCCAGGCTGTTATATCAGGTAATGTGTCATGCCCCCCCCCCAAAGGAAAAAAAAACCCAGTACTACATGTAGTGGTTTGTCTGCTGAATTAAATGAATATTTCATCATTTTAGAAACAGTTGATGAGAGGAGCTAGAGCCAGCAGTCAGCATATTAACACCCAGACTCTGATTTTTGCTGAGAAATATTGAGCAGTTTGCACCTCAGCAAGCAAAGGGTCTGAGAGCAAAGGAGGAATGCACTGACGTGAATGCAGTGGCAAAACAATGAGCTATTGTTTGAAGACTTTTAAATCTCTGCAGGATTGTCAGATTGTAAATGACAGACTTGCGTAACAGGAAATCTCGACTCTGACATGTTGTCTGGATCTTTACTAGCTACACTGAAAGTCTTCAAAAACTGCTCATTGCCACACCATTAGATGATAGCTGGTGCGCTCACAGTGACACTTGTCTTAGTTTAAAACAAGCACATGCAGAACCGCTAACCACAGTGTGTCGTGAGCAGGCTTACCTAAATGCAATAAAGCCATTAACACTGCAGGCGTCCTTTTCCTGCCTTGACATGGCAGGAAAAAAGTGAAAAACATTAGTGAGACTTTGTTTTCTTCTCAGAGCAAGATGTTTCTCTTTGTTTCGAGTCTTCATGGTAAGTTAAGGCAAGTAGTTTCTATTTGTGGAGACTAAGAAGGAGTTTAGTATCAACCTTGTCATCAAACCTGCAGCCAGGAAGCCAGTCAGGCTACACCCGGGAATGCGAAACTATTCCTTAAATTTAACAGCTCCTTTAAATGTGTTTGTGCCAAAGAGTCTTCCATGAGTTGAAAATAATTTAGTTTGGCGGGAAGCTTTCTGATGGCCGACTTCTTTGAAAATGTGATTACCTGTAATGCCACGCCATCACCCTTCTTCCTCACCACATCAACTGTACAGCGTTCGAGTATTTGTACGGACAGGTTTGTAAATATGTTTGTATCAGTACTCCCCCTGTTATGTTCCCATGTTTTTGCATTTACATGTCTGTGTTGTTACTGTTGATGAACATATAGGAAACTACAGTTAACCATATGGATGAATAGTGTTAGCAGACTTTTGGTTGTACAAAGGGGGGGGGACTGTGCGATTAAGTAGACCCTCAAGTAGTCCCAGGAGTCCAGAATGTCTGCAGAGTCGAGCGCATACCCACATATCGCTGAGTGTTAAGACACCAGTGTCTGTGGTGCATTTAAAGCTGAATGACTGAACTTTAGTGCATGATTTTTCTGCAATGGTCAGTTTGTTTTTCACCTCAACTTGAGGAAGTAAAAATGAAGTCAAACAGTTTGCCATTTCCCTTATTTTAGGTACAGCGATGTCATCTTGTTATGAGGCAGCTTACTTCTGGTAGCTGCAAACAAGTTGATTTTAAAAAAAAGTTCAACCCTGTTTCCTTATTAATTAAATTCAATCCAACTGAACAGGAATTTGTTCATGAAAAGTACCGACTGCTCAGTATGACGCAGAAAGGGACAGTAGCCTGTTTCAAAAGTTACTTGTGATGACATACACAGATCCAGGCTTGTGTTTAAGGATCAAATTATGAAGACAAAACTACTGATTTTGTAATTACTGGAATATATTGATGGTTACATTAACATATTTTGAATAAAATGTATATTTTGAGAACTTTACATGGTGAATCTGAATCTGTTTAGCTCTTATACTGTTACAGTTTGAGTTCAGATTTCCTGCAGGCTGTGGACATGAGAAGAAACATTTTTCGTTTTCTGTTTTTAATCACTGTAATCACAACGATTGAAAATGGGTAAATAGGTTTTGGATAGATGTCAAAAAAGAGAGCTATAATAAATAGTTCATATAGAGATGTATAATGTACAGTTGAACTGGTCACTAAACACCAAAAGCTCCATTATTTTCTTTAAAATCTGGTTCCTACAGTCGGCTCTGTATGTCTGCTGTATTTTGACATCTGCAGCGACTTTCTGTTCTGAGACCAGCAGAGACTGTGCCGTCCTTCATCTCACAGCTGTCAGCGTCTTGGCCTGAGTTCAGCTCCCTCCTTCAAGGATTTTCTTTCCTTTGTTTTTGCACTTCCTCTCATTCACTGGCTTTAGGTTCACCAGTTTATTTAGAACAGCAGTTGTTAGCTAGCCTAGATGCTTCCTGTTATGAGTACTCCAACTGGCCACTTTATTATGTACACATTGCCATTATAGCACATATGTAATCAGCTACTCATACAGTAATGACTTTAGGCATGTAGACATGGTCAAGATGACCTTCTGAAGTTTAAACCAAGCATCAGAATGGGGAAGTACACAAGTCACTATGAAAGTCACTTGGTTTTTGTTGCCAGACAGGCTGATCTGACTAATTTCAGAAACTGCTGATCTAGGATTTTTCCACGCAACCATCTCTAGGCTTTTCAGTGAAGGATATGAAAAAGAAAAAATATCCAGTAAGCAAGAGGTTTCTGGGTGAAAATGCTGTGTTGATGTCAAAGGTCAGAGGGGAATGCAACAGTGATTTTAAATTCAGATGGATCCATCCTGCCTTGTATCAGCAGCTCAGGCTGCTGATGGTGGTGTGATGCGTCTGGTCCCCCTAGTATCGAATGAGCATTTTTAAAATGCCACAGTCTGAATATTATTGTTGACCGTGTCCATCCCGTTATGACCATAGCACATCCATCATCTGCTGATGACTGCATCCAGCAAGATGGAACGGCATGTCACAAAGCTCTCATCATCTCAGACTAGCTTCTTGAACACGATGCTGTCACCGGATCTCAATCCAGTAGAGCACTTTGAGATGTGATGGAACATGAGTCGCATCATTAATGTGCAGCCGACAAATCTGCAGCAACTGTGTGAAGAGGGCCCAACCAGGTACTAGCACAGTGTAACTAATAAAGTGGCTGGTGAGTGTATAAACTATTACATTAACATATATACATGCTCCTAAACTAGGCAAATTATGTAGTGTTTGTACTAATAGTTTGTTTTTCACTCCATGAGCCGCTGAGAAGGCCAATCAGTGCAAACATTTAAGTCATCTTACAGTCCTTTAAGTGTGCTAAGCAAATGTTTGCAGAAATCATTCTTTGATTTGGGCACAGTCACTATGTCTAAGGCATATAGACAGAGGCGAGGACAATGGTGCTGGAAAACGCATGATTTGGACAACATTGGCCTCCTCTGTGTTGCCTGGCTTTGCTATTGTGCCCTGGCTGTACTAACTGGAGGCCAGCTGGCTGTGGTCCAGGTCCTTCAGTCCTCTTCACTGTGGAGGGCAAAGTGGATCGGTTCCAGAAAGAGCATACAGACACATACATACTGACCACTCGGCTGGCCACATAAATGGAGGATGCTGATAAAAAGCTCTGGGAACCAAGCAGGAATGTGGTTCATAAAGCAAGAAAATGAACCAGTGGCAGGAGCTGAATAGTCCATGGGATCAATGAAGAGGTTTTTGCACTAAAAGGAGAAAAAGTATGCAAAGGAAGGGTGGATGACAGCTTTAAAATGGGCCTCCACTGGGAGGACGCCATAGCTACTGAGCGTCCAGCCAAGACTGATAGAAGAGCTGCACAAAAAGAATGGATGGACGGAGAGACGGCTTACTGGGTCAGAACCTCTTCTTATTCCCAGGGTCCATTGGACCTAACAGGGCTTCAGTGGGTTATCTGACCTGAATTTAAAATGTCTAAGTCAATAAGTGGATGCCATTCTGTCTCAGCAATGTTGATAGATAACAGGCCGATCGAAGGCAGCAACTCATTTTCAAGCATGATGCAGCATTTCAGTACTGAAGTATCACTTTAATGATCATACAAAGCGGTTCTGAGTGATGAAACTGGGCTCTACATAAGACCTTATTGATTACTTAGATGCTTGACCACATGTGAAATGGACTGCCTTGAAATGATCAAGTGATATTCAAGGACTCCAGATGACTTTTCTTCTGGCACACCAAGGATGCTGGCATGTGCTGACATGCGAACCTTTGGATGAGCTGCCATGAAATCTTACACTTTCATTTTACTCTGAGGGCATCTGACTGTAATGAAATCTCCGTTTGTTTGTTTTGACAGCAAATTCCTCCTCCGCGATCAGAGTTCACCAAACTAAACAAGCTTGGCACACAGTTACATCTTAGGCCTTGAAGTTATTGAATACCATCAGGTTGTCTTTATTCACTTAAAACATTATGAAAGCAACAAACCACAAATTATACTGTAGCTGTACTGCATTAGTTTTTATTATTTCTCTGGTGCTTTGGCTTATAAGAATAAAACTGAATGTGAAAGAATTTTAATGCCAATATTTAGGATAATTTACCTGAAATTTCAGAGTGGGATCCCTCCTCGATACATGCCCCTTCCAGTTCTTTCCTATATATAACCCCCCGCCCAACTACAAGCTGTTTGTCCTTGTTGTCATGCCCCACCTTCCCTCCCTTTTGCAATTCATTCACTTCTCATTAGTAGATGGGGATCTGCCCGGTCTGGGAGCTGCCATGTCTGAGGCCTTCCACAAACCGCAGCCTCAATTCACGCTCCAGCCGTCTGCCATTATCTACTAGAAACACTATCAAACCTAAACGAGGACGCGGTCCCAGCTATTGAATTAGCATTTAGCTCAATCTTCATGTCAACACACACAAATTCACCAAGTCCGTGAATGAATAAATCCCTGAATATCACTTTGTGTCACTCAAAACTTTCCTTTTCTTGCATAGGCAACAAAGAGAATAAACCGTGGGTTTAAGATTGACTTTTGGCTTATGCAACCGCTGTTTTGCTCTTTACACAGACTTTGCATGCATGCTAATCTGACTACTTCATAAAGCACACACTACAAATGGAAACCAGAAAGTTTTAGGTACCAAATTTTTATCCCCTGCCTACAGATACTGCAGTTTCGCATGCAGATATCTATTTATGCTGATTATGCTGAAAACCTTTGAAGCCTCTTTATTTTGGCCTGAGGTGTCATTAACGGATTTAATAAAGAATCAAACAAGCAGAATGAATAATGGCATTTTACCAATAAAATCCTATCAATATTGATTCCATGTCACGAAACACACCAACAGCAGAGAAGGCATCATATAATTTAAACATTAACTTGAGGAAATGCTGCAGTGTCCAAAACCTCACGCTTTGTTTCAATAAACCTGACTTACTGGTTTCCAAAGTCTTTCGACGTGCAGCAACATTTCCTTCCTTTAACTGAAAGTGTCTGCCAACAGAGAGCCAATGACCCAGTGCTGGACAGGCGTTGGTGGATATGTCCAACCTTTGATGTTGGATTCAGCCTCAGTCCTGTTGCCCAGAATTTAAAGAACATGCAACACTTTCATCTGCAGTTAAATAAACGACTCAAAGTCAAAATAATTTGAAACAGTGGAAAGCACTCTATGTAATGATGAGTAAACGTACGTGTTTGCTGCGGCTTCAGTTGGCTCGGTCATGAAAGCAGTCAGATCCATCTGCAGATAAGTGATTATGAAATTGCAGAGAGTATTTGGTAACATACAGATAGTATAAAAGCAGAAGCCACACCAACCTAGAAGCTATGACTAAACCACAGCTCTTTTTTTTACTCATTGGAAAAGGGAACACTGGTCTACTAAAAAAAGCAAAACAGTGAATATATGCAACACTCAAAGTAACTAGAAAAATTTGCATTTCCTGCGAAAATGCAGTGTGGATGCCTTAACGCTGAAGATGTCTGTTGAAAAAATTGAAAGTTGGAAAAAAAATGCTACCCTGAGCAGGATTTGAACCTGGCCCTTCTGGTCTCAAGGCAGCTACTCACTGAGCCAAACTCATTCTCACAAAGAAAAGGTGGAGAGACTGACAATTCTGCTGAAATGAGCAGAAGCTGCTGAGACTTGTGCTGATAAGAGGTGAAAAGGCTAAAAATTTTGCAGAAAAGGGGTGAATCAGCAGAATTTTTGCTGAAAAGAGGTAAAGAAGCAAAAAGTTGCGCTGAAAAGAAATGAATCAGCAGAATTTCTGCTCAAGAGGTTTTTTTTCTGAAAACAGCTGAGATTTGTGCTGATAAGAGGTGAAAAGGCTGAAAATTTTGCTGAAAAGAGTTGAATGAGCAGAATTTCTGCAGAAAAGATGGAAAGCAGAACATTGCGCTGAAAAGAGTTGAATGAGCAGAATTTCTGCTGAAAAGAGTTAAAAAAGTTTAACTGTTAACTGAAAGAAATGTTGCCATAAGCGGGATTTGAACCCGGGCCTCCCAGTCTGAGAACGGATGCTCATCTCACTGAGCTAAAACACAGCTCAACCCGGCAAGGAAAATCAGTGAGGCCACTGATAATATGGCAGAAATGGGCAAAAAATATTGCAAAAAAAAATTCAATATCTCAAAAAGTATAGAAGTTAAGAGCACCAAAAGATATAGCCGGCATTAGCAGAAATAGCAGAATTTTTTGAACGGAGAAAATCGGCTGAAAACTGAGGGAGTAGTTAAGCGCCAAAAAACGTACGGAAGCAACTAGAATAAAGTAGAATAAAGAATAAAAAGAAACAGGATCTCAATATACATCCTACAAATACTTCAGTGTTGTTATCCTGTGCAAGCAGCATGCAAGTACAGCTCAAAGCGTGCTTTGTATTGGAATCAAGGTCACACTTGTAACATTGT